TAATTTAAGTAAGTAGTGTGTGTGTGTGTGTGTGTGTGTGTGTGTGTGTGTGTGTGTGTGTGTGTGTGTGTGTGTGAGTGCGTGCGTGCGTGCGTTACGTTTTATGATATAAATTTATATTTTTCCACGCGCTCTTTTCACGCATACGTTTCATTACATTTACCATTACATTACTTTTTTACAGGTACATGTTATTTGCGCGACTATAGCTTTTGGAATGGGCATTGATAAACCAAATGTGCGTTTTGTAATACATGCAACCCTGCCAAAGTCCATAGAGAGCTATTATCAAGAAAGTGGCCGTGCTGGTCGGGATGGTGAAATAGCAGATTGTATTTTATTTTATCATTACGCAGATATGCATAGGATCCGAAGAATGTTAAAGTTGGATAATTCACACGTCGTTGATACACACATGGACAATTTATCTACAATGGTACAATTTTGTGAAAATACTATAGATTGTCGTAGATCGTTGCAGCTTAATTATTTTGGAGAGAGCTTTGATAGACAACAGTGTATCTCGAATAAAATAACCGCGTGTGATAATTGCAGATGCAAGGTATGTCATATAAATTAGACAGATAATTATTTCAACAAAAATAAGTAAAGTTGTTGTCTAAATGAAATTGTTAATAATTAATAATTTTAGGGAGAGATTACAAAGTTAGACGTTACCGAAGATGCAAAAGAGATTATAAAAGCTGTACGAGATATTAATAATGAAAAGAAATGCAAACTTACAATAGTATTCTTAATAAATATTTTTAAAGGCTGTGCTCTGAAAAATATTAGAGAATCAGGTTTACTTGTCATTATATATAACAATAATACAAAAAAATAAAAAAAAAACGGAAAGATTTAGAATATTTTATATCATATTTAATGTATAATGTAGTACAACAAGAATTTTTTCGTAGATCTTACAAAACATCCTTTATATGGTCGCGGTAAATCATGGAATAAGAGTGACATAGCACGTCTTTTGCACCATATGGTATTACAAAAATATTTAGAAGAAAATATGTATATTAATAATGAAATTGCTTGCACATATGTAAAAATTGGGCCAAAGGCAAACGAACTTATGACAAAGGATGTAAAGGTATCTTTATTCATACAACCAGAATGTAATATATTGAATAAGTTTACAATACATCTTGGATATTTTAATATCCAAGTATGTACATATTAGCATGTAGAAAATTTTCTTTACTTGTCATCTTTTATTATCTTTTGAATAGATACAAATTCCAATAAGACAATCGAATAAATCTACAAGTGGTGCGACCGCAATTTCAACAGTTACAAAAGAAATCGATGGTATAAAAGAATTACAAGATCGTTGTTACGCCGAGTTAATGACAGTAATAAGAGCAATCGCTGGTGCACTTGATGTTTCCGTTTCTTCTATCATGAATATGGCAGCTGTCAAAGTTATGAGCGAGCGTTTACCGGAAACTGCAGAAGCCATGTTACAAATACCACATGTCACTAAAGCCAATTTTATTAAATACGGCAAAACTCTTTTGAATGTTACGCAAAAATATGCGGCAGAAAAAAGAAAAAATTAGTACGATACTTATACAACTTGCATATACAATGATATAAAATAATACTTTGTGTAATTGATTATTCCATTATTTTCAGGATTGTTAAATAAAAATAAGCACAATAGTGTTAATAATACCTGGGTTGGCAATAATTCCAACTATTCTTACAGTAGCGATAGTACTAGTAATTTTGGCAA